GCAAGTCTCTGCAGCCCAACCCGACCCACGGCAGCCAGGACTGGATCAAGGACTGATCAGGACGACGCAAACTCGTAACGATACCACCCTTCTCGCCCTTCTATGGCTTCTACCCCGCGGTAGGACCCTTATCGTCGGCCACTATTTACCACTTTCTTAACCAGGATATCGCTTCTCAGGTATGTATGCCACTCTATTATATTCCATCGGCTTTCGATTACCCGTAATTTCTGCCACTGCCACCGCCACGAAAGAAAAAATTTATAAAAATTCCCAACACTTCTCCGCTTGCTCTCCGAGAGGACATTACGAATTGTAATGGCTGACTTATTTTACTCACCTGTCGCAGAAAAGACCCATCTTTTCTATTATATGACCTGACGGGGAGCGTATCATACGAAGAAGAGAAGCGAATACTTGAGCACAAGACTTCCTTTCGCCCCCAACTCCTGACTGGGGAACCTTCTCTAACCTACGGAAACCTGGTCATATCACCAGTACTAATAATATAAGCCGGACATAATTACGCACCGCACCGCATTGCACCGTCCCACTTTGTCGACTGCGGACTTTTTTATTCTCACAGTTTTGCCATATTTCCCTTTTTTTATTCTCTCACACACACTTACCCGAGTTTCCCTATACCTTGAGTGTGACTCACTCGAATTTGACACTATCGTATTATCGTGATAGTTGCCGACCAGTGGAACAACTAGACTTACCACTAGACTTAACTACACTACGTCATTTACCATACCGTGGGATAAGCTGGTCAGCAGCAAAGCAACCATGGCTGAGCCACGATACCGATACTCGGGTCGTAGGTCGCCTACATTCAACCCCGCGCGAGCCTCTATGCCCGTCAGCAGCAGTGTCGGGTACAACCCTCATTACAGCGGAGATCTCCATACCGTACAGACGGCTCGTTACGATACCGCTGTACCACGGAGAGCGGCCGACCACAAGACGCCTGCGAACCCGACGACTACTATCACAACGTACAACGTCACTAAAGATCCTGCGCCGCGAACCTCCAACACCGCACGTCGTCGATCATCCACCGTCGATTCGGGCGCTGTGAAACCCATTATAGTCACCACCAATCATCCGCCCCGATCTCATGGGTCTACTTCCCACGCGACATCTGGTGCCCGCCAAACTAGCCCGTCACGCGATCCCTACCGATCGAGCGACGAGACATACTATACACAACCAGCGTCTTCGATCCCTTCGCGGGGCCAGCACCGGTACGGGCATGGTTATAGTCAGAGCGCAACCCTAACCAACGATGAATTCTATCGGCTAAGGGAACGAGTCGGCGACGACAGACTTCGACCACCGCAGCACACCGCAACCGATTACTACCGATACTCGCTCCCTCATTCTAGTTACGTAGCCCCGTCGCACGACCTTAATAGTACCGCTGTGGTCGATTACGCAAACGAAGGCTGGGAGTATACAAAGCCCAGCGACCTGGCCAGGTACGATTTAGACCACGACCACCAGCAACAGCGCAGAGGCCGACGGGAGAGTCTCGACCGTACGAATGATCGTCCCAACTACTACCGACCAACCGTAAACGTCGTGAGCAACGACACCGGGCGCTACGATAACCGCACCCGCGGACCACCGCCCACGTCTGCCGGGCTGGACCGCTACAACAGGACTGCTACTGCGGGCGTTTACGATCGTCCCACAGTCACCATGCCTGCTCTTCCGCCGCCGGTGCCCGCCGCGCCGGTGGTTGACTCGAAGCGTCGAATTGAGGCGCCAAGAGACCCCTCGCCAGACCGAAAAGCAGCACGACCACGCCCCGTCTCACTATATCACGATGCGCCAGCTCGTATGTCGCATCCCGATGATATCTACCGCTCTCACGACGACGAGCGCTTGCACCGCCGCCGTGATCGTGATGATGCATACCGTGACGACACCTATCGTGACGATGATGTCACTTCTCGCGGATTTGGTATTCGCACCGATTCACTGGCCATAGAGCAGCCGGATCGTCCGGCAAGATCGATGGATCGGCGCGACTATGATGACCGACGGGTGCGCCGGGACACTGTTGACCGTGAACCGCGACGTCGCTCCGATGAATCCATCGACTATGCTCGCAGTCACGATTCTCGGAAACCCGCTGATGACACTGTTTCTCGCGTTGACTCGCTCCGGGAATCCCGAGATAGCGCTAGTCAGAAGAGCGGCCTGCCTAGCCGAACCCGCGACAAGGTCGCCGCTGGGCTAGGCGTTGCTGCTGCCGCTATGGGTCTCGTTCCTCCCAAAGAGACGCCCAAGGATGACGAACGCAAGGTCTCCCCGCGACGCCGGGAAACTAAAGACGAGGAAGATATCGGAAGCTCTCGTACGGGTGATAGATATAAGCCCAGAGAGAGGGACGTTGTAGACCGCGTAGACCGCGTAGAAAGAGTAGAACGAAAGCCCTCTCCTAAGGAGGAGCCGGTCGCTGTTGAGGAGCGACGAGAGCCTCGGAGAGACCGCGCGGAGTCGACGTCGGCTACCAGAGATAGAGAGCGAGAGCGCAATCATGAGGCTGACAGGGAACGTGTCCGCGAGCGTGCTTATGAGCGCGAACGGGAGAGGGAACGAGACCAGCGCGAGCTCGAGAAAGAACGAGAACGGGAACGAGAGCGAGAACGAGAGCGAGAGCGGCTAGAGCGGGAACTGGATAGGGAGCGGGAACGGGAATTGGAGCAGCGCGACCGGGAGAAAGGGCGCGACCGGGAGCGTAGTAGGCGAGATACTGAAGGTGCCCTGAATGGATCAGCCGTCGTAGATGAAAGGGATGGCTCGCCTGCCTCCGACGGCTCCGCAGCCCCGTCACGAAGGCGACGGCACGGCTCGTCCACCTTTGATCCTACTGACACAAGGGACCTACTGGATGTGAAGGCCGAGCTAGCTGCGAAGGACAGCCAAGAAAAGCCCAAGGAGAAGCCATCTACCAAAGGGTCTGTCTCCGAGAAGGAGGTTTCCCCTACTCACTCCGCGGAACGCCTATCGACAGTTGAGTCGCGTGAAGAGTCGCGCGGCCGCGACACAACCACCGCACAAGAAAAGGAGAAACAAGTTCGACTTGTGTCGCCTCCGCGTGATAAGTCTGAGCAGAAACCCATCAAGGGCATCCTAAAAGCGCCTAGCGCAAAGTTCCCGGAGGATCAGAACCCTATCCGCGAGGGTGTCGCGCCGCACAAAGACGATAAGACCAAGAAGGGTGTCCCGCCTGGTGCCCGATGGACCAAGATCAACCGCAAGCTGATCAACCCCGCCGCTCTGGAGATCGGCAAGGAGCGCTTCGAAGTCCGGGATGACTTCGTTATTGTGCTACGTGTCCTGAGTAAGGAAGAGATTCAAGCTTATGCTAATGCTACTGCGCAAATAAGAGGTAAGTCCAAGCTACAGAGCCCTGAGCCTACCCCGGTCCTCTATTCCAAGCAGTTTACTGACTACATAACAGCGGCGAAGAGAAAGGAGTATGAGAAGGAACACGGAACTGAGCGTGCTTATGAGCATGATCGCGATTACTCGGATGATGAGAGAGAGAAGCGGAGTCGCCGTCCCCGCCGCGAGCGTGACGAGGACTACGAGTACAAGAGGGATCGCGACGACGACCGAGAGCGCCATCGTCGACACAAGCGCGGCTCGGACGACGACGACGACGGTCGGAGCGGTCGTGCCATTGATTACGATGGTGCCAGCAGTCGCCATGACACCACCCGCCACCACCGATCTCACCGAGAGCGAGACTACGACTCTACTACCATCGCCTCGGATGACAGGCGCTGAATCAATCAACCACCTTACTCCTTTCCACCTTTCCACCTTTCCACCACAAGTTATATAAGATAAGATGTACATGATTCTTCATCAATTTATTCACGGCATATATACATCGCTAGCGAGCGAGCAGTTAACGCCCAGCGGAGTATATAGACTTCCAAGGTTATGATACCGAAGTGTTTGTTTGTTGTTGTAGGATGAGACTTGATGATGTATATGGAGAAGAAGAAGCACTGGGGACTTGTAACGATGATGATCATTGATGATGATTCAGAGGAAAATACTTAGGTTTTCTTATTTGATTAACTGGCTATCTTAAACGTATATAACGAACCACTTACCGGAAGGCTGCCGAGCGTTTGTGGGAGATGGATGACTTGGGTGGAGGAAAGAAGGAAAAGATTAGGATTGGGATTTAGATTCGTGTATCGACGGTCGCTCTTCTTTTTCCTTTTCCCTCGTCTCTGTTTGGGTGTTTTCGTTTGCTTGCTTTTTTATCCCCTTTGTCTACATTTGGTCCTCGATATCATCCTCACCAAAAAGCCAGATACCCACAACATTTGAAGTTGTCATTATGAAGAAGACGGAGATGGAGATGAAGAGTTGGATGCCTACAGTTTATACCCCCGTAGATTTCTATGTCAAAACACTTGAGCCAATTTTGGACGTTATATTATACATGTATGCGGGTAACCGACTCACTTGCGCTATGTATGTACGAATGAATGAATACCATGTACCTAGACGAATGAGCAAAGCGGTTCGGTTTAGTATACTGGTATAGGAGATGATATGTCGTTCGCTTCCGATACGAAAATAATAGTGGAGAAAAATTAGGACGATAGTATGAGGTATGTATGAGATGTCTCTCACCACGGGATAACGCATAGCTTTTTCTCATATTACGACTCGATATGCATAATTTCATCGGACATCACATCTATAATTATCATACATACTACAAACCCCTCAATCCCGTTTAAAGAAAAATAAGGGGGAAAAATCCAAATAAACGAGACGTATAATAAGTATCCATAATACCTATCTGGTACCATCCAACGACAAGTAGTCATCAGTATGGGGACGTAGCTAGTAATGGATATGGCTAGATATGGCCCTATTTGACGTATAATTAACAGCCGCAATCCCACAGACGGGACCAGAAAAATTTTCCGCTCACCGCCAAAGAAAAAACCAAATAAGCCCGACTAGCTCATCGGTAGAGCGCCTCACTAGTATACCAATCTGTGACGGGGTCTTCGGAGGATTTTCCCTTCAAGTTGTTATGCTGTGTGTTATGAGGAGGCAACAGGTTCGATTCCTGTGTTGGGCAATTCTTTCTTTTTTCCTTCTTCTTTTAACTTGTTTCTTTTCTCGCTGGGTGTGTTGATTACTTAGTCTCTCATGTTCATTTATTGTTGTTACTGGTCCACATTTGGGGCGGAGGGAGTATGTACAAGATGTGAGTAAGTATCGTTATCGTAGGTATTCTTCCGACCAACTCCTTTTTTTACTCACATGTACCTACGGTAGACAGGTAGGTACTCGCATGGCGTGCACGTAGCCGTCCCGCTCGCGCCCCGTCCGTCCGTTGCGCAGCGCACCGTCCCGGCTGCGGGCTGCTGATGCAGGTAGCCGTGCGCATCCGCCTCGTCCAGCTCGTATCTCCTGTGGCGTCGTCCACGCGGAGATCAAACGCGCGTCTTACGCGTAGTTAAATTGTTGGAGAGACCACCACCACTAGTTCTAAGTTCCAGTGTTAAATGGTCTCTATTTGATCTCACGATTGAAGTGTTAATCTTGCTGGTGCGGCGGAGGAGACGGTGAATGTAAGCAATAGGCTAGCTAGGGCGCTTCCCCTTCCCTTCGATAGTGAGAATGGCAAAGGAGCAGTCCAATCTGTTCTGTGATTTGACCCCGTTCGCAGTTAGATCTTACGCCAGATCCTCTGACCCTGCCTGATAGTCACTTGACTAGATTTGGCTCCACGTAAGAACTATTACGGAAAACGACTGGTGAAAATCTACCTATGTTATCGTACTCGGCTTTCTCGCTAGGAGCTCGGGCGGGCGGTGTAGGTGGGAATACTTACAGTAGGTCTCATTAGAAGTTGTCTGCAAGAGTCCCAACATCCTTCCTCCCGCCCCCACGGCGATCTCACGGCACCGGGTGCCCATTTAAGACAGAGAGATAGGGTACTTATCAAGTAAAACGTGGTTATCCCGTCGGCATCGCGTAGCATTTTCTCGGGTTTCTCAGTGTTAAGATGGATTCCCTCCTTCGGCTATACATACTAAAATAGGAGGCATGATTCCCTACCTAGGTAGTGAGGCGGTCCTGCTTACAGCACTAAATCAGCGGTGAAGGTGGTCTTCACTTGGTGACTCCGAGCCGGTAAGTAGGTAGTCTTAATACGCTTATAGGGGTTCATATATTGGATTCGTACCCCCACTGAACATGCTGCGATTCGAAAGGTTCGTATACGCATCTTCTTAGCTTTAGGTCTCGTCCCCGTAATCGTCGTCAAATATTTCCGGGTCAATACTTCATAAGGGGTAAGAAATGGAACAGATCAAGTGCCAGCGTGCCAGTGTGCCTGAAAACCCCGATATCGAACTTGCAGGGGAAGGTTCTGCTCCGTGAGCTGACTATGTAGAAATTAGAGGTGAGGATAGACTAATAACGCGTTATCGTCGTGTTGGATACCCCGTTCAAATAGGTGGATGTGTGCCTAAGTGCTTCACGAGCGAATGAATGTCGTAAATATGCCGGCCCCGTACATATTAGATAGAAATCTAGGAGCTCACTGTGAAGTTAAAAAATAGACGTTGACCATTAGCAAGGTGAGTTTCCCAACGGCGCTCTAGTCGTAGGTGACTTAACTTTAAAAGCATCTAACGCCCCCTGTCAATCTTATGGCGGCTACCAAAAATGTTTATGCTGACGTCGGCGTCGGTCTGATCCTAAGGATGATATACTTGGGCATGCATATCACGGGAGGTACGGCTCACCTTATAAACATGGCAAGACTTAAACCAAGCCATTGCGCATATTAGCATAACACCCCGTCTCTCCCTAATGGGATCAACAGCATGTTGCCTAAAATCCTCGAATGACATATATTTACCATATGCTAGTCAGCTTCCTCCCGCGGAGCCAGCCCCTTTTCCCCACGGTGTCCAGCTACAGAAAAATAAAGAACACACAGAAGCATTTGGTATCTCCCCCACGGGTGACCTTCTTGTCTTTACATTTGAACCTTAGAGCACCGTATCTCCTCCATTTCCTTTCCCCCTCCACTGATGGTCATCGTATAAAACAACAAGGCGTGAACTCTTCTCTAAGTTATCCCGGAAATATTTTTCCGTAGACAAGTCCGGGTCCGGCAGTAAACATCATCAAGGGCTTGCGTAGATGCGAACTACCTCAATGGCCCTAATCGGAAGTGACAAGTGAAAAGAGCTGGGACAACATGTGGGAAATCGCGAGATATATTGAGGATTCTTAAGAGGCATGAGTATTCTCGGAATACTACTACCCAGGCCGTCCGCGAAGGATCGAATTGCGCAGTGAAATATAAGCTTAGAAGGGAGAGAGTTAACGAGACCACTCCACCCTTAGAAGTCCATATTGGTATTGAGGAAATTGGTCGTATATCGTCATTGACGTTTTGTGTCTGGCGAGTCTATGAAGCGCGAATATAGTACAGGCGCGGTACGCAGCGTATTGTGAAAAGAAACGATTATTTTATGCGTCCGACAATGAAATAGAAAGATCCCACACAAGTAGTAACGCATCGAAACGTAGAATGAGAATAACTTCGGGACCAAGGGTGGCAATGGTAAGACCTACCCAGTCGGGTATCATTTACACGGTGTTGATTGCAAAGCGAGATGGCTGAGGCTAGGATTCGTCATCCCGTTTCTCGCCACGTCGCATGCGTTCACTCCATCTTCGCTTGCCGACTCGAGTTTCGTAGTGAGGCACCATGGTCCTCACGTCCTGGGTGACACCTTCGATTGCGTTGCAAGTCTTATTACGATAGCAGTCAACTGTGTGGTGTTAGCACCGTGCTCGTCATGTAATGTAGGGGTTTAGGGTGCGGAACTCACGAGCTCGCTGCAAGAAGACGGTTCTCCCGGCGAAGACACGGCTATGCATCCACGCCATACGGTAAGCCAGGTCGTTGAGTCGCACCTCCTTTATCCGCGAGCCTCTTCTGATTCTCGGAATGGCAACTTCAGCTTCGTTGCCGTCAGACATGGGAGCCTTCACCATGACTCGTTCTCGCACGTTGCTTCGTCGGGCGCGTCCGGTTCGCCCGCCGTCGACTTCCACGTTGTCGTCGCTTAAGTCATCCTGGAAGAACTGGCTACCTGTGGCACTGGGGGGCGGGCTCTGCATTTCGCGCGGGAAATAACTGCGCGGGAAGACGGCGGAGCTCTTGCGAAACGAATCAGGAATCTCCTTCGGATTGACGTCTTCAAGCGTGACGCGCACTCGCAGGCGGGAGTTGCGCTTGTTATCTTCGACGAGAATAAACTTCCGCTTTTTGGCATCCGGGATGTCAGGAAACAAGCCTTCGGGATTCTTATCATCGTCCCTGCTCATGCGTCGAGCTACAATAGTATTGTGGTGGGAACCGGCTAGTCCATCGTGGATCGGCGGCATAGACGATCCCGAGGAGGGATGGCTAGGATACTGCTGGGGGTAGCCGGTAAAGACTTGGGCTGGACGAACATCGTCTGAATTTCTAGATCCCGGTCCGGTGGGTGCTTGATGATGGTGATGATGAGATCCATCCACATACTCTCCATCCCCTGTACAGAGCCAAATTAGCGGACTAGTCCAGGGTCGATATGCTATTTGCAGAAACTAAGGCAGCAGAAAAAGCGAAGCGAAGCGATGTGAATATTTGCAATTTTGTGACAGAGGGTTTTCCAATACAGGGAGACAACGACGTGAGGTTGTGATATGTGCGCTTGGTGTGTTTGTGCAGTGAGATGCAAAGCAATGCCATGCCATGCCATGCCATGCAACTTTTGCTACCAGACAGACGACTAGACCGTCCCGACGCAGCAAGGACTACCAAGTGCATGGCAACTAGATAATGTACAGAATAGTGCCTGTCCCCTAGTGCTCCAAAAAGCGCCCGCGGCTTTGCGCCGATATATATGAACATGAGAAGGCATCCGATCCAAAAAAGTAACCGAACAGGCACGAGGTATAATGATATAAAAGGTATCACGTAATTGCACAATGATAACGACAACAGCAACGGCAACGGCAACGACAGCAATAACAACGCATGAATCACATCTGGTGAAACATACCGACTTCGTCTCCTCCACCCTGAGCGCCTCCTTCGTGGGCGTGGTGATGGTGCATCTGCGGACCCATGTTGCTCATCCCAGGCTTCCCCAGGGGAGTACCGCCGCCAGGGCCCATAGATCCAGGGGCTGGTATCCCTGTCGGCGCACCGGGACCAGCAATATGTGTGGCGTGGGGATTCTGAACCGCCTTGCGATTGTTCATCTTGGCCATTCGACGAACGCGACGACTTCGCAATCTGGGGTCCTGGTTACTGTTTCGCCAGCTGTCGACTGCTCTCTGAATAAGACCTCTCTTCCCGCGAAGGCAAGGATTAAGCTGGGCCAACGCCCATCCGACCGTATTACACTCGGTCTCATACTGTAGCCTGTTTCCGCGGTACTGATCTTTGGGGCAGCAGGCCCTAGGGTAGACACAATTCTCCGTCTTGAAATCGCTGGTGAGCTCGTCTGTATTCACGGACTCGACGTCGCAGCGAATTGTATACTCCATCTTTACCCGATCGCGAGAATATTCAAAAGCGATCCACTGTACACCGTTATTATCCTGCCTCACAACCAATGGGGTAGTCGCTGGGATCGGGCCCGGCGCCGCATTGTTGTTGACGCCGGGTGTAGTTGACCCTGTAGGGGTTGATAATTGTCCGCCGTTTTGTGGCTGTTGGGAGGTCCCCAGCGGTCCAGGTGTAGGACGTTGTAGCTGCGAAGGCATCTGGGGCTCCATCTTCGTATGCCGAGGGCTACCCGTCATTCCTGATTGCGCATGCTGACTCGCGTGCTGCGTCATCTGGTGTTGCTGTCCCGGGTGGGACATCATCATATTCGGCTGCGATGCCATGGGTTGATGCGGCTGTTGGGCGTGCTGCTGGTACGGAGAAGGCGCCTGGGGTGGCATAGACGAGTATTGAGGTTGTTGTCCGCCATAATACATCGATTGGGGCGGAAGTTGTGATGTTGGCTGACCGTAGATACTTCGGTGTTGATCATGTCCTGACGGTGACGC